TTCAAGTTGAGCCGAATCTTTGCAAGTTCATTGCCATCCATAAATCCTATCTATCCTTTTATAAACTTTCAATATAAAGAATCAGTTCGGATCAAACTAGATCCAGTTAATTCAATTTCAGTTCAGTTCTATAATTGAATATGAAACTAATGTTTCTATTTTTAAATTTCTCATTAGTATTAGGTTAGGTTCGATCCTATTCTCTTGGAACCAAACCAGCAAAACTGTGTCCACATTTAGTAATAGTTCATAAAATGCAAATTGACGATTTGCTCTCGAATCTAGCAAATAGAAATTGAGTTTAATAAAAGAATAATTGACGAATTTATGTATAAAGATTTATTTTTAAAAAAAATATCTTCTACTTTTCAATACTAGTTTTTAGCACGAGTTAACATATATGCCTCTTAATGTTAAACCACGAACAAGAAAAAGCAATTAAGAAGTAGTCGTTTCAAGAAATAATATTGTACAGTTATGTGTTGAGATTGATTGAAATAAAAATAAACAGTTGCAGGAAATCTTGATAATTATAATGAAAAGGGCGAGTTGTATAATTAAATTGTGCACGGTGGCATCTATTTGAGTCAAACAAAAAAAAAAAAAAACATAAAATTTATTTTTCTTCAAACTTATTTTTAATTATAAATTTTATAGGATTTATATTTTTATCAACTTTTCAATCGTATATTTCGAAAATTTTTATCAAAATATACAAAAATTTAATTTTTATCCGAGCCAAAGCTACAAATTTAATTAAAATCTAAACCAGAGATAATAATTAATTTTAATTACACATTATATATATATATATATATATATATTTTTTTTTTTTTTTTTTTTTTTTTTTTCAAATTACAAGTTCTCTCAATTTCTATGAAAGTCTATTAAAAGTATTTTTTTTTACCTAAACCAAAAATAGAGTTAATATTGTTTGGTAGAGATTATGATAATTGATTTTTTGACTGTTAGAGATAAAGTGGGTCCTACCTGTGAGAGAAGAATTTAAAAATGACGGTTGAAATAGTGAAATAACAATAAAAAAATTACTTTTAATTGACTTTTAACCTCTACCAAACAAGCTCAATTAGAGCTCGTTTGAACCAGATTTTATTGTAAGAATGTATTTTGGAATAGTTACTTGATCGATAATGTGTGGTTAAAAATAAAGAAAAGTTTTGTACTTATAAGTAATATTATTTTAGTGAAGAATATGTAATTAAAAAGAAGAGATAAAAATATATTTTGAAAATAATAAGAATCAAACAAATGCTAAATCAAACTAGGAAAACAATAGAAAAATATTTTATTGTCATTATTGAATTCAGTGTACGGGATGACTAAACATTTGGTCCACTTATATGTCATTCTATTTGACAATTATTAGGCCATGTTTGATTGGTTTATATTTTCCATGGTGTTTGATGGCACAAATTTGGCATGAAATTCATTTTCCATCTTTTGTTGCCACATAAGCAAATTCCACCAAATGGTGGAATTTCAATTCTCACCAAATTTGACGTATTTTTTTATTTTTCAATTGACACAAATTTTAAGAATTATTGTAATAAATTTTATTTTTTTAATTGACAATTTTTATATAAAATAAAGTCAAACGAACACCAAAAGATAAAAGAATTTCTTGAATTTTTTTTGAGATGGAAACAAATTTCATTCCCAATATCAGAAAATTTTATTCCTTTAATTGACAATTTTTATATAAAATAAGGTCAAACGAACACTAAAAACACTTTTATTTCAACATTTTTCACGTAGAAAATTATATCAATCAAACACAATAATTTACAATTCATAGGAAAATAATTTTTAGGCAATTTAATTCCCTAGAATTCATCTTCTTTCCACCAAAATTCCATTTTTACAATCAAACAGACATTTATTTCAATTTTTTTAATTACATACTCATTTTCAACTACCTATTCATACTATAAATTATTTTGCATGTAAATTAATATTTTTTTGTACCTTTTAATCATATTCTCCTAAAAATTACTATTTTCACAAAATGAAATATTATGCACGTAAATTCAAAATTTATTCCTATTTTTTAATCATATATTATTTTGAAAATTGCTAATTGAAATGTTATTTTCATCAAATAATGACCATGAGGGCGGCTGAATTTGGGTAGGAAAACGTGTCATTTGTAAATTGCAGTGGATCCACGTCAACATCAAACATATAAAAGTAAAAATTGGCAAACAGACAGATTCCACCATTCTGTATCCGCGTCCGTTCATTTTGTCAACGAACCTTTTCTTGAGAGCCGTAGGTCACATGTCCGTGGCTTCACATCGTCTCCGATTTGTCAATTCTCATCCGTTTTCACAATTTTCTATTTTTTTTTTATTTTTTCCCCTATTTTGAGTAGAAAATCTCTTTTTGAGATATTCAAGGTTTGTTTGTCACTGCTTTAAAATTAGATTTGGATGGAGAGGATTTTTCTACTTGTCTTCCAATTGTGTACAAGAAGAATTTTTCAAAACGTTAGAACGTGTTTTATTCTTATATGATACGACAGGATGGCGTACGTGTTGATTATTTATGAGAACTCAAACTTCAAAAAGGAAAACCTTGTAGGAATATTATTTTGTGCTTTTAAGTATTTAAAATTTGCCCTAGAATGTTCTTTAACTTAAGCTTTTGTATGAAGCAAAGGTTATTGACAATTTAAGTTAGGTAGACCGTAGACGTGATGCATAAATTTGATTTTATGTATTGATTATTATTTTTAGAAACGTAGAAAATACTATTTTATTTGTTTGTTCATTTGAAAAAAATAATATATATATATATATATATATATATAGATAGAAAAGATACGGATTATACTCATAGAACAAATTTATAAAATGAGACAAAACATCGATTGCAATCAATACTAGGATTCCTAGTATATACGGATATTCATATAATACGACATTTGTATTATAATTAGAGGTGTACAATTGATATCGACCTGCTTGACTCTTCCAGATGGCAACATTCTAAAGTTCTTACATATATATTAGATATTCCAAAGAATATTCTATTAATGTTTCTAGAATAAATTGGTAACATTGAATTCAAACTGATACACGTTTTTTAAAAGAGTAATGTTATCTATAGTCGTTCATCGCTATAGTTGCCTTACATGATATATACATTATTAGTATCTATTTGATGGATTAATGTGGTAGTTTTTATTGATTAATGTATCAAATAATCACGCATCATCATGTGTATGTCACGTAGGATAATTGTTGTAGCGAGCGATTACAAATAGTATTATTAAAAATATTGACAAAACATGTTTATTAGACGACATTATAAAAGTAAATTTAGAAATCTACCAAAAAAAACCTAACCGTGAATACGTGCCTTAGACGGCGTAACTTGGAAGAGCAATCAAAGATAAAAATAGAATTACAGAAATTTCACTCATTTTATAGGTTTATTTTATGTTGGTCACCTATCTTTCCAATTGTGTCAATTGAAGTGCTCAATTTTACATTTTTATTCAATTGGATCATTATGTCTATATTTGTTATTGTGGCTCCAAATTCAAAACCTAATCAACAGCCAAATAGGAGTTTATTAATTTAGGGGCATAACTTAGGGGAAGTGTGTTGTAGGAATGAAGTAGAGTGGACCGATATATAATTTTATTCATACATTGCGTAGAACATACAAGTTACTTCTCATACATACCATTTACAACTTATAAGTACTAGAAAATTTTAAGCTTCGCCAATCACGCGCTATAATTACCAACCACAATAAGCAAACACAAATTTCGCTGGTCGGATCATAAATTACATCAAAATTGATAATAAATACATACAAAATAAGTTAATAACTTAAATTGAAATTAAAATAGATTATATGACCAACAAAAAAATAAATGTATAAATTAAGCATATGTTTGGCTCTCATTTTCACAAAAATTCATTTATACCTGCACATTCTCCTATAAAATAATCTTATACATAAATCGAAATATTTTTCTTATTTTTCAATCATATATTTTTTCAAAAAAATTATTATTCCAAAATATATTTTCTTACAAAAATGGGGCTCAAACGGGGCTCTTCAAGTGAAAATAACGATGGATAGTTGGTAACGGCACCGCTAGCACGTTAAATTGGAAAGTAAACAGTAAGAAGAATATCCAAAAGCA